ACCAAAACGCTGGCTTGCATCCATAGATGCTTCTCAAGCAAATCCCGGGACGTCATTCTCCCCCTGTACTCAGCCTTAGTGAGGCCACAGCTGGAGTACTGTGTCCAGTTTTGGGCTCCACAATTCAAAAAGGATGCGGAGAAGCTTGAGAGAGTCCAGAGAAGAGCCACACGCATGATCAGAGGTCAGGGAAGCAGAACCTACGATGACAGGCTGAGAGCCCTGGGGCTCTTTAGCCTGAAAAAGCGCAGGCTCAGGGGTGATCTGATGGCCACCTACAAGTTTATCAGGGGTGACCACCAGCATCTGGGGGAACGTTTGTTCACCAGAGCGCCCCAAGGGATGACGAGGTCAAATGGTCACAAACTACTTCAAGATTGTTTCAGGCTGGACATAAGGAAGAACTTCTTTACTGTCCGAGCCCCCAAGGTCTGGAACAGCCTGCCACCGGAGGTGGTTCAAGTGCCTTCATTGAACACCTTCAAGATGAAACTGGATGCTTATCTTGCTGGGATCCTATGACCCCAGCTGACTTCCTGCCCTTTGGGCGGGGGGCTGGACTCGATGATCTTCCGAGGTCCCTTCCAGCCCTGATGTCTATGAAATCTATGAAACACAGGCTCAGGATCAGCAGGCCCTGAGGAGGACTTGAGGGGCATCCGGACCCTCTCCACCAGCCACCTGCCTTTGCCCATTACTCCATCCAAAGCTGTCGCCCTTCCTGGGAGCCCCACAAGCTCCATGACACGAGGGTGTCTCAACTGGTTCTCTGCTTGGAGGGCAGTTCTGCTCTGTCCACCCATCTCGGCCTGGTCTTCGTGCCCCCTCCAAGAGGCTTCCTGGCACTTTGCTCTTCTGTCCCCTCTGGCAAAAGCCAAGGGGCCCCAGAGCCTGTGGTGGTGCCCAGTGGCCCCTGACACCCGCATCTCTTCCCCACCACAGGTACATGGAGGTGGCCAACAACGTGCAGAAGGAGGAGACGGTGCTGAGCCTGGGCTTCGTGCTGCTGGACTGTGCACGGCTGAAGGGTGCTGTGGTGCAGCACTGCACTGAGTGGCAGGGCAAGCTTACGGCCCTGCTGCGTGAGACAGCCAGTGGGCGCCTGCGCCACCTGCATGCCCACCTACGGGACAGTGCCTGCAGGTCAGCCGCCCCCTCAGCCTGGCCCCACCCCCAGCCTCCCTTGACTCAACCCTTAGATCGTGCCCTCTGGTCCCCCATAGCCCTACCCCAGCCCTGGCCCCAACCACCCTTGACCCTCACCCCCAGGCTCTGCCCTCTGGTTTCACATTGACCCACGCTACCCTCTCAGCCCTGGCTCCACTCCCTCGGCCTGGCCATACCCCCAACCACCCTTGACTCCACCCTGCAGGCTCTGTCCTCTTATACCCCACCTTGGTCTTGGCCCTGCCCCCTTAGCCTCAGCCCACAGTCCTGCCCCCTTGGCTCTACCTGCTCAGTCTTGCACCTGACCACCTGCTTGGACCCCCCCATTCCCCTGAGTTCTCTCCAGCTCTGGATGGTAGTTCAGGCTGGTGGGTCTGAGCAAAAGGGGCTGGTAGCCTGGACACCTGGATTCTTTCTAGTTCTGGGAGGGGAGTTGAGGGAGTGGGGAGGGGGCTGGGAGCCTGATGCTGTCCCCTCCCTGCAGCGTGAGCCGGCCCCCGCAGACCTTGCAGGAGCTGGGCCAGAGCCTGCAGCTGCTGGAGAACCTGCAGGCTGAGCTGTCCCAGCTGGAGGCTCAGATCCCACCCATCCATGACCAGTTTGCCATCCTGGACAAGTACGAGGTGCCCGTGGAGGAGGAGGTGAGGCCCTGCCCCTGTCCCTGCCCTTCCCCTCCCCTCTCTCATCCCTCCCCCACCCCTGGCACCTTCTATTGCTCCCTGTCTTGTTCACCGTTTCAGCCTCTTCCCAACCTCTGGCCCAACTGGCCCCACTCTAACCCCAGAGCCGGGGAGAACCCAGGCATCTGGACTCCCAGCCTCCCTGCTCTGACCTAGCAGAATCCACTTCCCTCCCAGAGTGGGGGTAGGACCCAGGTGTCCGTGCTTTCAGCTCCCTCCCATTTGAAGCCAGTAGATCCCACTGGCTAACAGCAAGCTGGAGGCAGGGGCATGGGGTTTGGTGGGTTAGAGCTGTGAGGGTTGGGAGCCTGGACACCTGGGTCCTATCCCCATGCTAGGAGGGGAGTGGGGTCCAGCAGGTCTGAGCTGGCAGGCGAGGAGCCTGGACTCCTGGGTTCTGCCCTCAGTCCTGGAGGGGGTTAGTGAGGTACAGGGAGGATAGGGGCCAGTGCCGCTTATCCCATCCATTGCTCTGCTCTCTGCTCCCTCCCTTGTGCCCATGCTCCATCCTCTGTTCCTTGCCCAATCCATCACTCTGCTCCCTTCCCCATCTGCTGCTTCACTCTTGGCTCCCTGTCCTGACACCTACCTTGTGCCCCAGGTGCTGCAGCTGCTGGGTGGCCTGGGCGGGGAGTGGTTGGCCTTCCAGCAGTGCATGTTGGACAGTGAGGTCATGCTCAAGCGCCACAAAGAGAAGTTCAAGACTGGCCTCATCCACTCAGCTGACAACTTCAAGAAGAAGGCCCAGGTTCTCCTGCAGGACTTTGGCGCCAAAGGTATGTAATGGGAGCGGAGTTGGGGGGCTGCTGCAGCCCCCAGTTTGTCAGGGTGGCAGTGCCAGGCTTGGCTTGTAGACCTGGTTGAGCCTTGGGCTCTCCCAGAGCTGGGGAGGAAGCCAGGAGTCTAGGCTCCCAGTTTCTCCCACTCCAAGCCAGTAGACACCACCGCTGTCTGACTGGTGGTGAAAGGAGCTGATGGCATAGGGGTGGAGGTGGGATTTAGATGGGCGTGTCAGTGGGGGTGGGGGCAAGAGCTGGGGTCTAGGTGGGTGTGGCCATGGGGAGAAGTGGGTGGGTCTTCGATGGGTGTGCCTGTGGGGGGGGAATGTGGCCACAGGGTGGGAGTTGAGGGGGTGGGGCTCAGGTGGGTATGCCCATGAGGGCAGGGCCAAGGGGGTGGGGCTTAGGGGAACACAGTCAGGCACAGCCGTGGGGGGTGGGGCTTGAAGGGGTTGGGTTGAGGCAGGCACTCCTATGGGGGCTCCGGGGGGAGCACAGGGGAAACTGCCCATACCCCTCTGTGCCCACAGGCCCCTTCAGCAGTGCAGTGCCATGCGCGGCAGCACTGGAGCAGATTGCGACACTACGTCAGGTGC